TTCTCTCTCTCAAAACCATTGGCGTATTTTTTTTTTATCATCCCTCTTCCTCACCTCCTTTCTCTTGGCTTTAAAGCTTGTGATGGTAACACCAAGTGAGTGAGCAGGATTTTACGATAACAGATTAGAGGATCCGGGACTAGCACAAACAGCCTTTCTCCCGTACACACATGCACACGGATGGTAAAGGGGACCTTAGTGTTGCTTTCAAACTCACAATCGTGTACTCTATGATCAAAGCAAAATCCTTGCCCGCATCTTCTTACTACGTTTCTGCTTCTTCATCTTTATCCGAGGCTGTCCCTTTCTCTGGGCCAATATCCTGCAAGGTTTTACCCAAAATCCTATTGTGGAACGGGTGGAGAGTTCTCAAGGTTTGAGCATTAAGTGGGAAAATACTGGGTTGCAAATTATTTCTTCGTCTTTTGTGGTTTTTGAGATTTTTCAATTGACGATAATTTTTTCGTTTTCCAAAAAAATTCTCGAAAATTTCCGCATTTCTGCTTTGGAAATTTTTTATTGATGAGAATTTATAATCTAATGGAGATTAATGCAACTTGTTGATTCAGGGTTTATTGTGTAAGGAAAATTTGTAGAGAAAGAAATTTCGTAGTGTCGGGGTATTCTAGAATATCAGGTACAAGCATGAGTCTCATTACCATTTGTACTTGAGAATTTTCACCAGAAGTTGAAAACAATGTGAACTATAATTCCTCTATAATATCACTTGACGATCTGCGAGACTTTTTGTATTATGATTTTCTGTAATAGAAGGAACGCCAACAATTTGCAACTTTCAAACTTATCGGCCTTCATAATCGTTCCATGTACGATATATACGCTATATGGAATGAAATAAGGGTGCAATATATAGGACGCGTAGTTGAGGATACGGGGTTTCACCTCTCGAAAAGTTTTCGAGTGCGATAAGATACTGGAGGGCAGATGGGCTCCAGCTTCTCTGTTCTTCTTCATGCGCACATTGAAGTAGAGGAGAGAAGAGGTTGAAGAGAAAGTTGGCGAGTCTTTAACGGTTAGAAAATTCCGAAGCAATTTCTCCTACGCCATCCGTCGCGTTTCTATCCTAACTGCACAACTTTTGAATTTAATTTATAACTAGTCGAGTGCTTTCCGTTCCTTCCGTTTCATCCTTTTCTTGTTACCGAGTGTTTCTCATTTTTCTGGTTTTGACATGACTTTGAAAAATATCGTTAAGAGACCGTTCATACGCAGGGGATAAAAAAAACATAAAAATTATTGTTATTTTTTTAATCGAATACTGCCCTTCAAAATGGAATCCCATAAAAATGTAAAAAAACCGCAATTTTTCAAATTTTCAGGGCTAAAATAAATGATTGATTAAAATTCACTGAGTACTTTCAACAAAAATTTAAATATATAACTCCTATAATTGAAGACTGAATTTTCAATGAATTTGTAACAGATGTATGGTATTTTCTCGGTATTGGCAAAACATGCTTGAAGTTTGCGGCGATTCGTTGTGGAGTCAGATGTTCATAGTTTAATAGCCGAGTCAAGTAATTTCCTCCGTGAAGAGAAAAAGGAGATTGAAGAAGCAAACAAGGACTGAGAATGCAGGTCAAAAAAGAGATACGAGGATGCTTGGGTAGGGTGTCTCGGGAAACAAATAGGTTGAGGTACCGCGATCCCATTTCCTACACACGACATGAACGCTGAGTGTAACACACACACTCATCCATACACAACTGATATCCATGGACATTCATGTTGCCTCCATCGTGAATACACATCTAATACTGCTGTACACGCTCTCTGCGTATACCGTGCTGATATACGGTGAGCCAAACACAGACTCTGAATGTTATTTACCGCTTCCTACGTGCCTTCAACTACACCTTTTAACGATAAGTTAATACCAAGAAGTTGGAGGTTCCTGCGGAGTTAATTGCACGTTTGTTCAGTGCACCTCGAATAAGTCTTTGCGGTTGGTATTTTTCATTGTATTAGAAACAAGATTCTTTGCCGCTCAAATTGTACTCCGAACTCACGCAAATCGTCATTTTCCTCTGAAGAGCATTCCAATATTGTAATGTGTTTTTGTTCAACTACTCTACTTTGAGGTCATGCCACTTTCTCGCTCCAATACTTCCTCCAAGCAAAACGCTAGCGCAATCAAGGTATTGTATTTTCCTATTTACCCCGGAAACTTTTGCGAGATTAAAGGCATGTAATTATCAGAATTCAGTAGTAATTATCCTGATAATGACAACACGAACGATTGCAGTGCGAAAAGCGAAATGGGGTCATCGTTTTTTTTAAAGGTTTCAGATCGTGTTAATGAAATTTTTTTTTTAACATCTACTTTAGGTGTGAGCCAAAAATTTATAGTTCGAGAATTTTTAATTTGATTCGTATGAGCAATACAATGATATTGGATCGTTGGTCCCTTCGATAATCGTGAGGTGACCATATTGTTACAGTGTTCTACATCTAAGTCGCCTTGCGGACAACGAGATTAGACTCGGAGTGGGTCGAATGGAAAGGATGATCCTTGATATTGAGACAAGTGGATCGTTCAGGGTAACAGTCGAATCCAAGACCCTGGCGATTATAGCTGCCATTACCATCTGAGTTTGGCCGAATGATACTGGGTCAAATGTGGCAAGTCCGGTTGTTGACCAAGATTGGTCCATTCATCTCCACCCACCTGCCCGGAAAAAAAAGGACATGCTCCAGTTTGCCCAATAGCACAGGAGAATCCCGAGCACATGGTGCAGTCAACTTTTCCCAAGTTTTCTCTCACGGAATAGAAAGCACTTGAGAAGTTGAGTCCAATCACATGTTTGGTCAACTTCAAAAAGAAAATAGATTCCCGGATAGAAAAATTTATATTCCTCATAAATCAGAGACCAAAGACAATTATAATTTTCGATTCTTAAAAATAGTTGACGTATTGAACATAAAATGGAATTTAAATGTGTCCTCGCGTTTTGGAGGATCTGCCGATAGATTTTTTTTTTTATTACGCGGTATGTTATTCCCGCAAAATTCACCGCGTATTATGTAGACGAACGCAACCGCCGCTCCTCCCTCGCGTTTTTGTTCTCTTTCTGGATAACTCGGTTCGGAAATGCGCGAACCGTAGTTTGGGGTCGTATTGATCGGGGCGACATGCCTGCGTCGGTAGGTTTCAATGTTGGTGAGAATAAGAGGGGCTTGCCAGTGTCTAAAATAGTAGGCATCAGCCTCGAGTAACTCGAGTATCACCGGATACGAATTTGAGGACGGATAAGGATATCCCACTGCGACGGTCCTGTGTTAACCCTTCAACGCCCTTCCGCTTCGTTATCTTATCACTTGTCTCGGAAGACGCTCGCACTATGTTTAGGAGTGATTCATTTGCATGTCTGAATACATGGACAAATGGTGTCAAATGCGAAATAACACGAGTGTATTTCGATTGCTTTCAATTCACTGCACCAAATATTCCTCGATGAGAGAGTTTGCCTGTGAAATTCGATAATTTCGTGACCTTCTTGGAATATTGACGAGTCCAGGAAATCATACTTCCTTGGCTCCTTCCTATTTCAATTCATTCTTCGGGTTCGGTGCACCTCAATGATGGTCAAATTCTCATGTACATATTCCCTCCGAGAAAGAGATGTAGAGATAATACAAATTCATCTCATGTTTTTCCGTAAATTTTGATAACATAAATTTGCGGATTTCTATACGAAAGTACGAGAAAATGAGAAATGGCATTTGAAGAAAATTGGCATTCATATGAAATTTATAATCTTTGTAAAATCACAAAGCGAGAACTTGAAAGAGACTTGACGGAGAAAAAATAAAATAAACAATCGATGGTCAATTGTATATCAGAAACTGGGTTGTATCGACTAGAATTCCCACAATATCATTCGGAATGCCGTTTGTCAATCAAGCTAAAAACATCGTAAACCCCGGAAGCAATTCTTTCATCCGCCCCATCGCCATCATCCAGAAACAAACACCTCCCCAGATTGTAAATGCCCTGTATATCTACATTCCACTGCCATCACAAACAGGTGTGAGGCAAAATGTTATTTCGCGAGGCATTTCCCAGGAAAACAGTCTCTTCCACCATTTATATAGTAAAACCGTCCAACACTTACAGAAGAACGGTCTCGAAAAGAAAGGAGTAGCATTTCCTCACACCTATCCACTTATTTAGATTCTTTTTTCTTCCGTCACAGTGAGCCCCGGGTGCTTCCGAGCAATAGCAAGAAAGAGAAAAGAGTCATAAAAAGTTGGATTGGTGCACGAGAGAGGGTGAATAAAGGAAGAAAGAAAATGCGGAGGAAGTGAGATAAGCGAAATTGACAGAAAGCAAGTGAAGCGTGTGCACCAAGGGGTGAGAGCTTCTCAAGAAATAGCATACGCGTGTGCTGCAACTACACGTAGTTCCTGTAGATTTCACCCACAACTGTAACCCGGTAGAGAAGATTGCGTGTGCGTGGGAATGAGATAGAAAATTTCTGTGATAACGTGCCAATCACTGAGGGAAAAATCCCCAGTACTTACGGAAGTGTAGTGTGTAATGGGGCGTATACATCAGTTTGTCGGTTAAAAGGGGAGTATGAGAAAGTGTCTTATATCGTCCAATAACCAATTAATCTGCCAATCAAGCTTAGGATTATCTCATTACGTCGCTCAGAAGGACCGAGCTACAAGTGGGCTTATTGCTCGTTAACGTTGACATTAGCGGATTCCTCCGACTAGAAATAAATCGCTTTATCCCCATCAGGACTGTACCATCACAATTAATCTAACAAAAACGTCTAGTATAAATGACATTTTTTTACCTAAGCCGCACCAACCTCTTCCACCCCCAATCCCCGGCGTTCCTATCAATTTATCATCGTTGGGGATATTGAATTAAATTGTTTTGTATTGCTGGAGGTCTTGGAAAAATAAAGAAAACCGCTCTGCTGATGAGGATTTTCCGTCTCGTCAACCAGTGGATGAGGTGAAGGCACCATCTCCGAGGATTTCGAATAACGGGAGGAGGTTGCAATGCCAATCGCCTCCAGTCGTTGGTCTCCATGGGGTATTATCGATTTCACATTTAAATTATCATTGGTTCGCTGGGAAATTCTCATCCGGTGCCTGCTGACTCGACACGAGAAATTCCGTAGTAATCTGCACTGCGGATGAGGGGAACATACGTGGTGTAGGATAGATTACGGATAGATCGGAAATAGAAGATACTGATGGAAGAATTTGGTTAATAAGGAATGATTAATTCAGTCTCGTTATCCCGGAGAAAAAAAAATTGTAATCGGAATATTTTTTCCAAATTTTCAAAAAATTTCTGGAAAACTTTTCAGAATTTCTTTTTTTTAAACAAAAATCGGGACGCAACACAATTGTATTTTTGGGAAATGTTTTGAAAAATTTGGAAAAAATTTGGAAAAAATATTGCGATTACAATTTTTTTTTTACCCGGGATTCTTCATGAATCTGTTGAAAAATTATCGAAATTTTGAAAATGCAGACAAAATTTCTTCTTAAAATTCTCTCCTTTGTCTGAAAAATCCGCCAATGAATTTTATCAGAAGAAATGGAATTTCAATCTGCGGGTAATAAATTAAGTTGATAAAAGTACTGATTTTTCTCAGTGCAGTCGTGATGGGGATAAGTTTCATCATCAGGAAGACCTACAAATTCAATTCCTCTTTAATCCCTCTGGATGGAGATAGTTCGACAATATTAGATGATGAGATTGCTACTGAACATTTTTCGTCACAAGTTAAATCCTCTTTTCTGTAGATAACGTATCGGAAAAAGGATTGGACGATAGGACTGTAATTGGCGTGGTTCCCATAACTATCCTCCAGAGACATGAAACGTTGGAACATGCGACAGGCTTGAATCCAGAAAGTCCTTATGTAACGGGCTTAGAGTCTGGCCTTTTCGTCGGGGAAAAAGGGGCGGGAGGGACTATTTAATCCGTGTTCATGTGCAATTGCCCACAACGAGAATGGAGAAACGATCGTAAGACTTATTTCACCGGGGATCGGGGAATGAGGGTTGCATCAAATACGATGGGAGTGTGTCTGAAAGTCCCGGCAAAAGGATATATATCCATTCTGTGGGTTTGAATCGCCAGATAAAATGAAATTGTGAGGAACAAAATGGGGAATATGTCTGGTGATATGGATACTTGGTGTTCTGATGGTGACATATGGCAAGTGATGGATTTTCAATCAGAAATTTCAATCAACTCACACGATTGTTGATTTTTTTTTAGGAAAGAGAGATTTTTTAGGAATAAATCCAATGAAAAAAATTCACCTCAATGGTTTAAAACATTATTTCTCACACCATTAATTGATTTATTTATTTTTTATGTTTAACGTTGATAATTTGTATGATTTGATGGTTTTCTTTTTGGATTATCCAGTCGACGTTGTGATCGATATAATAATGCAAACAAATGTTCTCCACGGCAAATCACTCTTCGCTGCACTGAAAACTCGATGCTCTTCATCATCCCCAGCTTCTAGAACCTAACAAACTTCCAACAAGTTGCATCCACTGCATATTCGTCGAATGCCGAGACAATCGAGAAGTTGGCAATGATTCTGTTTTCTTGTTATACCTGACAATCATCAACAGCTGCAAACTTTTCAAGCATTCGCAAGCACAGCGATATAACGAACATAACCTCTATTGTTATTCCAGCGTGTTCCTCTTCTCGGAGCCAAATGGTATCCTCTCCCTCGAGCTGAAAGCCCCCAGTGGAACTAGTACCAACACAGGTCACATCCCAAGGAAATCGTTACACCTGCCCCGTTTGAGCCACTGCGAATTACTAGAGTATCCTCTTCTTCGGCACTTTGTCTCGAGTAACTGCACCAAGCTTTTCCATAATCCCATCGTTTTTCTCTGCTTCTGTGTACCACCGGCAAGTTGACATTTCATTTTTATTGCACTTTTTTCCATTCAGTTTATCTGAGTAAAATTGCTCCCCGCGGTTTTTCAACTTCTCGATTTAGACCAGAAATATAGGAATCATAGTGACAGAGTACTACATCACCGAATACTCTAGTGGTTTAGAGAAAAAATGCATTTTTTTGTTTTAGTACACAAGTTTTAAATGTGATTATTGGAAGGTGAATGCTTTGAAGAATGAAACGGATCCATGACTTGACCGTTGATCCGTTGACGAGATCCATCTCCCGGAGCTTCACAAAAAAATCACAGATAGGGAATAGCAGCTTTAGCGAAAGCTTCAGTTTACAATTTTCACTCGATGGTAATTCTTCTCACAATAAATGATTCGGCGGAATCCCACTCGTGCCATCCAGCTTTTATATCACGGGTAATGGTAGCTCGTTCCGTAAGAATTAATATAACGTTATCATTCCAGTAATGAGAGCACTTTACGTTCTTCGAAACGCGGAGCAGTGCCAACGTGAATAGTATGGCTGTTGTACGATTACCAATTCCCCCCGTGGAGCCATTTTCTACGGTACAGTGTGTAAAAATTCACATTCACGTCGAGTGCATATCGTCACGGGATTTTGCATGCTGTTAAATATTTTCGCTGTTGACATTTTGAGAGAAATATATTTGACGACCAAAAGCTCAAATCCTGTTTTTAAATCCATTACATGTCAATCCAAAATTTCAGACTTATCGAAGTCTCAATTATAGATTATAATCCCCAAAATAATGGGTACCACGAAAGGCATTATGCAAATAAATAAAAACTGATGAGTGCTTTTTGATGATTCATCCCGTCCAAGAGGAAAATTCCGCGCGATGGTATAATCTGGATCTCCCAAAAAGCTAGAGAGATTGGAGATTGTGGGAGGATGGCACCGAAAAAAAAAAAACTGGTACAAGTCTCGGCCGAGATACAAGACTCCGGGGTCAGAATAATAGCGGATGCGAGATGAATTTCATATATGGCTGCAAATGAGGCCGCAGATGTGCCAGCAGATAAGGAATGATGAGAGTAGTCGCTGAAAAGGGCCCTCACCTTTTATTCAAAGGGCAAAGCAGGTCACGGAGATACTCCACAGCTGGAAGAATATAGGGTATGAGGGATTTGAATGGAAACGACAGACGAGTGTTGTTGCTATAGCTCTTCCGTATTTGAAGATTGAAAAACCCGCATGTTCCGGTTGATACGGTGCAATAGGGCTTGGGAAATTTGATGACCCTGAGAGATAAGAGGATCCAGCACGGAGATGATCGGACATCAGACCGTCTCTATTGATGATCTAGATCAACGAATCTCAAATAAAAATCTTCATTTAAAAAAAATTGCCAACATCTAAGGAGATGTAATGGAAAAATTGTTTTTCTTCGTGGTAAAAAAAAAACACAGAATCGAAACATTATTTATCGCCAGTAAGAATTTCCAGATTATGCTCCTGGTTTGCTGACTTCATGGGGGTGATTCCTCCGTCTACCTCAGAGTACCTCACAGCTTAGCTATTTCATTAATTGAATCCCGCCAAGTGTAGCCCCATACACCTTCTGGGGGCTAATAGTCCAAGTTCGCGGTGTTTCTATGCAAATTTCGATGCTCACGGGCATCGGCCTGTGGAAAGGGTGAGGGCCAACACCGAGGGGGTTCTACCCTAGGCAGCCCCCGTTGTTTATCCACGAGCCTTGCCATCGGGAAAGGGGTGAGGGATGAGGGGTGAGGGATTTTCACCAAAAGTGGTATGAGTTCAAGTATAAGAGCGAGAGGTGGGCTCTTTCGCTTACTCGTAACTGGTAGTTGTTAGTGCCTTGGCCTGAGCTGCGACGAACGACCAACGTGTGCAGAATAACGATAAGCCTTAACGGCGAACAACAAGGTCTATATTTATGTGTCTGGTATGCAACAGTTATACATTATATCCCATTTTCGTTTCTCTCTTGTTAGTGACACGTCTCATATAACAAACATAACGTTTTTATGCTTCCTGGGTAGTTTGGGATATTTCAATAATCGTAAATGCAGGAGTTGGTCAACCCTCGGAGCAACTCCGGGACAGGAGTTGACATTGGACAGCCCCACAGGAGATCCTGAAGGGTTGGGGTTTCAGTTCTGTTTACAGTCGGTTTTATTGCTACCGGCTAATGCGCCCTGGTTGAGAGTGACTCAGACAGTGGCTAGATATCCCCCCCCCCCTTTCGTGAGGTGAGCCTATCAGTCGTGAATGATCAACCCTCGTGGCTTGGGGTCTACGTTGTGACCTGATGGTGGTGGGATAGTCACTCCAGCTGGAGACCACGTCGTCCTATTACTTCGTAAACATGATAAGCTAGTACCTCGGTTCTTTTATTCGGTATTCTCTAGTTAGCTTCTTGTTTATAGGTGGGCTGATGCACATTCGGATAGCTCTGCGTAATCATGTCTACAGGAGCTCAATAGCTGACCTCAACGTCCAGAGAGAGCAAGGGATTTATTATTTTCTGGTGTTATTTTTATTGTTATTCATGTTCATTCGGTTTATCTTGTGCAACTGTTGTTTTTATAATCAACGAATCTTTTTATTGGTTTTTATCCCGTGGGAGGCCATGTTGAAGTGACTGTACCAGCCCAACCCCCCAAATTATACCAACGTAATTCAACCCCTTCAGTATCACGATATCAATATGCATATTCCCACTTGGTGGCTGCATTGAAACCTCCGTACGCATTTCACTTAAGCCTGCAAAAAGTATGCAACACTACTGCAGTGGAGAATGCACTTGTTAATGCATATGCTATTTGCTGTACCACTATGGAGGTAATGTCTTGCCCTAGTAGCATTCGTGGTTCCATTATTGCCAATTACGCGAGTATAACTCTCGCATAATACACTTGAAGTTCTCTTAGTGCATTCACGACTCCAGTATTCGCAAAGATAAAATGCTTCTTTGGTATTCCCAATGAATTTTGAGTTGTGCTCGCAAGTCAATCATTTTTTTCGAGCAACAATAATTCACACATTGATTATTATCATACCCTCAATGTTGATAAGAACGGTGTTTTTAAAAACTAAATCTTGAGGGAAATCTGGAATGAAAGAGAAATGCTTGCGCGTGATGAACGTATTTCAACAGGAGTTCAACATGACTTAAACTTCTGTTTTGTACTCGTGTTTCTATACACGTGTTAAAGCACCCACGTGGAAAATGGTATGTCTAGACGAATGATTCGGGTGTACAATCGGCTTTTCATGAATTGTACAACACCCAATGGGGAATTCCAAGATGACGTTCGAAATAAATTGGCGAAACGTGGTGTGGACGTCGTTCTGAGCGAATGTAGCCACTGGGTTTGTTTAGTTTGAAGTTGACAAAAAAAAAAAAAATTGTACGGATTGCCTTTGTCGTCGAGGTCGAATGTCGCCATTCAATTTGGAAGAACTGTCGATTTTGAGAATAAGTGATGTATCGATTTGCTCGGGAGAGCTTGCACCGAGTGCTGAAAATATTTGTAAACACCAGCGTCGTACATAAACCGCTCAGACGGAGTTTTATCCGTGAAAATTATAGAGAGACGTCAGCATTGAGATGGATTTGGAAAAGGAACAATTCCATCTTCAATTTAATAATAAATATCATCCACTGAGGGTCCCTTTACCATGCAAATGCCAGTCTTGCGCCGTCGGAGGGCCAGGTACACCACTCCGATTCACAAGGCAAACCGACACGACTCTCCACCCTCATCTCACATTTCTGCATCCCTTTCAGAATCACAGAATTCAATTTACCAAGTGATAAAATCTCTCTATTCTCTCTTTATCATTTTTCTTCGTTTATTTTTTTTCTCTGAATAAAATGTTTTCCCCTTCCAATAAATAGGCAGGTTTTCCTGGACTGATATTTCCTCATTCCTTTCTCTAAACTCCCCGTGCACGTAAAAACGTAAAGTGGCTCGTTTTTCTACCTCCCTATCCCTATATAATCCACTCTACTATTCTATGCTGATCTGGAGGAAAATAAGCAACCGATCACCGGCTCCAGTGAATGTCGAACAGGAAAAAAGCCGTGAGTGAACGATTTATATTCAATTGGAGTCGGATCGTGATTGCGTCTTGATTCTCGTGTACACCATTGAGATAATATTTTTATAAGCATTCAGAAATAACTGAATATTTCACCAATTCTTTTCTATTGAAATTCTCCCTTATAATTGTCATCAAAAAATTCAATTATTTCACTATTTCACAAAAGTCGATAACAATTTTCAAATTTCATATTTTCGTAATGACCCCTTCGTTGATCTCAAATCATCGCAGATGATAATTTATCAATTTAAGATTATCATTATTGAATCATGAAAAAAAAATCAATTCATCATTTTTCCGATTCTCTCATAAAATAAAAAAAATCATGCATTGTGGAGTGCAATTGCTGCAGTTGTCATTTATTTGCAATTTTTTTAGGTGGCTCATGCGATAAACTTTTGGGGATTTTTTTGTGCGTCGGGATTTGATCCCAACAGCGGATGGTGTATGAAAATGGAGAATAGATCCTTACATTGCTCACGGGAACGTAAGGGTGAATCGCTTTTACGCAGTCTGAATACTGATTTCGCGATGAACGCATACATTATCGAGAGGCGCGTACCGACGAACGGATAAAAGATATTAGCATTTTGATGGACCGCACCGAGGTGCATTTGACGTTTCATATGCATTTCGCGGCGTGGATTCGAGCGAGTCTATTCCACCCCACATGGAGAAACGCTAGAGGCCCCGATGTACGAGATTATTTCGGATATTTCCAGGCACCTCAGCGTATGATGGGACTGTCAAATTTCACGAAAAAAAAAAATATGAATATTTAAAATTTGAATATACTTATTTAAAATGTACTCGTAGTAATTCCAGCACGAATTATTGCCTACTATGAATAAATTAAATAATCCGAAAGCATCCGCTTTTGATATTCACATTCAACACTGAAATGTCGGAAAAATTTTTGGGCCGTCAGATTTGGGAGAGAATTTTTTAAAAGAAAATTGCAGTTTTGCAGAAAACGTGCGATTTTGGGAGAGTATATGGTAGGGGTAGGGAATAAACAATCTTTCGGGGTCATGAGTGAATTCTCCTCCGGAGAATTTTATTTCACTTACCATGTCTGCCCGGTCCCTGCACCGTTGGGGTCCACTTCAACGCCGCCGTAGGGCCTACACCGATATTCCCTATAAACCTTGCGCACAATCACAGTAATGTAATATTATTTATCTCTGAAGTCTTTTATGATTATTGTTTCGGTATCTTCCGCACAAACATGCACTATTTAATATTCACTGTTGAAATTCCAATGCACCAAACTTGCACTTCCAGGGCAGTCGATGTTCAGGGTTTTTCGTATTACATCTGAAACAGAAAATTGATTGGTTTGCTAAATGGGAATATAAAAAATGGAAAATAAAAATATTATCTAAAAAAGAAAAAAACGGCAATTTTAATGCCGTCAGTTGGCCACTTTTATGGTACCAAAAATTTGAGGGTTCTTCACTGGAAATTTAAAGGATAAGTTTTCGGGAGAATTTGACATTTTTGAGAGAAATAAAAAAAGGGAATAACTGAGGAACGGAATGAGTCCCTCGGCGCGGATAGACGAGGGCATACGTGTAAGACTGGATGAAAAGACATCTCCTCGAGGAAAAGTTGGTGGGCTTGGAAGATACCACTTGGGAGCAAGCTTTTGCACAACTTTGACGACCTTAAAATTGGCATCAAACTACCACCAGCCTGAGGGGGTTTCTCCTCCCCGGGTTTGTGGATACTTGAGACGTCCTGGGCTGAATGCCGCAGGGGAAAAGTGCTAGTGAGAGGGTTTAACTGTGCCAGAATAAAGTTATATTTTACTGTTTATAAGTGTAACCTTATAAAGTTGAACGACGCGTCCTCGTGGAAGTTTAACGGGACTTTGTGCTAGTGTCAAATAAAATTTTTCGCCAAGAAAAAGAGTTGAGGTTTGAAGTTGAGGGCTTTCCTTTCTTTTTATAAAACTTTTTAATGCATTAATTCGAAGGACTTTGGCAAGTGAGCCCTATTCTTATAACGATGAAACTACATCACGTGCTTTGAATGATAAGCGAAAAAAAATGCCTCCCTCGGTTGGTTGGGATCGAAAGGTGTGTCTGTTCACAGCAGGGGCGTTGATTTCCGGTGATTCGGAAATGATGGAGGCTTGGATTGATGAAAAAAGCGAACAAATCCTCTGCGGAAAGGACGAGGAGGTGGTGAAGAAATAGAAAGTGCTGAGTGATTTAGGGAATCGATCGATTTTCTTTCTCTGAACTTCAACTCATTCTGAGAGCAAGAACGACCTTCATTTTGGCATCCCGGGTAAAAAAAAATTGTAATCGGAATATTTTTTCCAAATTTTCAAAAAATTTCTGGAAAACTTTTCAGAATTTTTTTTTATGAAACAAAAAAAATTGAAAATAAAACAATTTTATTTTTTCGAAAAGTTTTGAAAAATTTTTCAAAAACTTGAATAGGAAATTTTTTTTTATAATTTACATGGCGTTTTTTTTTAGAATATTGAAAAATCGAAAAAGTAAGAAAACAACAGTATAATTAGAATAAAAAATTATAATCGCAAAAATGTCTAGAAAATTATAAAAAAAATTTTCCGAAACAAATTTTTGAAAAATTTTTCAAAACTTCCCAAAAATACAATTGTTTTGTTTCCCGATTTTTTTTTTGTTTCAGAAGGAAGTTTTCCAGAAATTTTTTTTTTAATTGGAAAAAATATTCCGATTAGATTTTATTTTACCCGAGATACCAGAAAATGGTATTTATAATTCTGTACACAATTAAAAATATTAAAATTTCGTTAAATGACTTTTTTCTGAGACTCTTCAATTGAGAAAGTAGTAAAAACTTGAATAATCAATGAATCTTGTTTCTGCAAAGTTTAATTGCAGACAAGTGCGCGTAGAAACCAGGGGGCATAACGGATTGAACTCGTTTTTCGTGCTGACACTGATGTAAGGACTTTGTCCCTTTTTTCCGACTTTCCGGCATTGTCGTGCCACTCCCCTAATCACGACGTTCATTTGTGCACCGAAGGAATCAGAAACTCGTACTAATTCAACGAAAAAGAGCGGTCGGATAAGAGCGACGAATGCCAAAAAAAGTAGAAAAAAAAAATTTGAAAAAAAAAATAAAAAAGCCGACATTGTTTGAGGGAAAAGTTGTTCGACACCGGGAGGAATTGACGGAATACCTCTCTCTGAATGTCCCTATAAACCGAATCGGAGGAATTAAAAAAAAAAAAATAATGCTATTAATGGCGTGTTTCCACGTCTCATCCCTTTACTCCCCGGGAGGCACCCCACGACGCGACAACGAATCCTTCTCTCTCGCTTTTTTATTCATTCTTTTTTACATTCACCCCTTCGTTTGTTGCACGCAACCATCCAGAACGACGAGGTAGATCACAGTCTGGGAATAATATTCATTCGCGTCTTGTTACTGACAATTATTGAGAAATATATAATGCAGACGTTCGGATGAGAACATGAAAAGAAAACGTTTTTTTTTTCTGTCATTTTTTTTTCACCGTTGTCGGGAATTGACAGGCGCATAAATACGTTCATGAACCTGGGGAAATGATACAAAGCATGACAGAAATGATATTCGCACGTGTGGATTACTCGTTGATGTATAAATTGATAATCCAGTGCTTCGCACTTGAATGGATTCGATTGCCGCTGAATCTTCCTGAAGATTCATTGAAAATTACTGTAGTGAAAATAAAGACAGGAGAATCATTTTTTTTTTTTGGTTTTCTGTTTCAGCTGCTCAATTATACGATACCAAATGCGCTTTGAGATAATTATCAATGCATTCCTTTGTCCATTGCCTTTTCAATGATGAACAATATTCGTATATTTTCCACTGGCATTCTTCATCGGTTGAGTTCTCGTAAAGATTAATTCAAAGTTATTCCATTGAAACCAAAGAAAATCGAATCGCTCGCATTCTGTTTCCAAACAACCGAAATTTCCAACGTCCATTTCAAAATCATTATCCACCCTCACTATCTCCAAAATACTAACCCCTAAATCAATACCAACATTCCCACATACACATCCCCCCAAATGATCATTCCAAAACGATCATTACCGTGAAAATTCCAGTCACCCCTCATTGTTCTCAGCCCATGAATCATCCACTCCCGAGGCCGAAAAAAAGCGTGAAATACTCGGTAAAAAATAAAGCAAGCTTGTTCTATTTCCCTCACACTTGAATTCTCAATGATGAAACAGCATATATAGCCATTTTTCCCGGTGCACGCAAGTAAAATAAAAAGACACAACTCCTGTTACATAAGTCGCAAATGACACGCTATTCCAACTTTTAATATTTTGTTTCAAATACCCCCGCATTTTTTTCAGCTTATATCGAGCAACATACAGAGTAATGTCTGGTGATTTGGGTGTGCGCTTGCGAGGCTTGACAGTGAGGGTGTCTTACCCAGGTTTTATAAAGCGACTGCTTGCATTTTTAGCTAGGGAAACGCACCCCGGACAATGACGACGAGACACCCTGCCAGACAGCCCTGTAGCTCCCTTTCGCTTATCTTTTTCTGTTCTTTCTTTTTCCGTTCTCGCACAAGTTGCATCACCCCCTTTTTTCCTTTCAAGTGTCTTCACTATATCTCGAGGACCTATCAAGGCCGTTTCATTCCCGGTGACTGTCTGTCTCTTTATCTATCCGTATTCCTTCAACGCAGAAAAGCGCGAATCTAGCCACCAGAAGTACTCCCATTCACACCTTTCTTTCAAGGTGCATAAGCCAACCGGTGGATTCTTTTGTCCCATCAGCACTCGTCTCATGCTTCGGTTTTTCTTAAACGATGTACGAAAGCCTCAATGCCCGTCAAAATTTTATCACATGAAAAATTCACGATTAGCGAACAAACGGCAGATGGCCTCAGTAAATTATCTCGTCGATTTATTTGTTCACATTTTTTCCACTCGCTGAGGAAAGTCACATCTTGAGAATCTAGTATTTGTTGAGTGTAAAGTACGGGTGGAGGAGAGAGTGGAGTGTGGGGTGCCGTAAAAATGTTGACATATTCTCTGACAGCTGTGTGGAAAAATAAGCCACAATGATTACTTCCATAATCGACTAGAGAGACAGCAACCGGGTAGAGTGTAGGGCGCAGTCGAATAACTGAGAAATATCATGCACCCTTTTTACGAGCCTTCCATACTCGGTTGGATAGTTCCCCCTTTTTGCACAGCAAACAGCATTGGGAAAAAGGCCCTCCGCATTTGAGAGCATTTTCCTACCCTTCGCTGCCAGATGTGATGTCGCGACAGGAAGCGATCTTTAATAGGCGTTGTCACGGTTACTTTGGAGGATTAGAAAGCCACTTATCTCCATCTTAAAAAAGTACTCATCCTTGCCGATTTTCGATTTGATGCGAATTGAGTGGATCTAAATCAATCCAAATTTCGATATATTTGAGGAAAAAAATGTTCATCTCATATTCAACCGAATAACAAATCAGAATTCAGGATTTTTTGTTTTGGGTACAAAGGCATAAATAATAGAAACAAAAAGAGAATTAGGAGGAAGGAATGGCATGGATCAAGTTATTCTTAGTGTACCGCCAGAGAATGTCCGAAGAATGCTCAATCATCGTGCACTTTCGCGTAAGATTGAGCGACTATCAATGTGTCAAGTATACTCGACGATGAAATGTGTAACGATCGTCAAGATTGATGATTCTGATGCAAATCGGATTGCGGATTGACACGCTCAGTACGTTCCAGAGTGGAGAGAAATTAGGGCGCGTTGGATTCGAGATTTACTGGATCTTTACATTTTGAGTCGATACCGCAAAACCATTATCTAGCCGATGGATTATGTCACCATATTATCGTTTCTATTGATGATATGGGATGGAATTAATGGATTGCGCGTTGTATATAGTTGCAGGCAATTTGAGCGACTAGTCGTCGAGAATTCAGTTAATTAATGAGTTAATGAAATTTCCACATCGTTGCATGGATTTATTATGGTAACGAGATCTGCTCAGAATTTTCTACTTTCTCGATTACAAATACAAATAATACCACCGGAATTTAAAATTATCATTAAATATTGCAAGCAATTATCGTATCTGATGAAAATTTGGGGCATAAAAAAATATAAATTAATAGCTTAAATGGAGAGATCGTGAATTGAATTAATCATGCGGTTATGCCATTTTACTGGAAAATGAAGGAATGATGAAAGATGCATCGAGACGAACTCGATGTTTTATGCATCCCTGCAAAGCAACCTGAGCACTCTATTATACAAAACTAGTTGACACTATAAACAGAAGAAGCTTGAAACTTTGGCAA